TACAAATGTACATGTACAGTATGTGGGAAAAATGTAAGGGATGGGAAGGGACTCTAAGTGAGAGATCAGAATGTTTGTTGGGGAAGGGGTACCTGCAGGAAGAGGATCATTGGGACAAAGTACAGGTATTTAGAAAGTGGATGAAATGCAGGAAAAAGTTGGTGTAATAGTTGGGCTGGATTAGTGGGATAATGGGACAGCCAGAGTAAGAAGTGAAGGGAGTGATGGGCAAGGGTGGAGTAGGAGATAGATAGGATGATGGGGAGGGGGCAGAGTAGGAGATGGGTATGGTGATGAGATAGAGGCGGAGTAGGAAATGGATAGGATGATGGGGAAGGGGCGGAGTACATGTAGGAGATGGATAGGATGATGGGGACTGGAAAGAGTAGAATATGGATAGGATGATGGGGAGGGGAAAGAGTAGGAGATGGATAGGGTGATGGAGGGGTGGAATAGGGTATGGAAAGATAGTTGGATGTGGGATTGGAGATAGATGGGATTAGGGGTGGAGTCAAAGTGGACATGGTAGATATAGGATGATGGGATGATAGGGGATAGAATTGTAGAGGATAGGATGATTGGGGTTAGATACAAAGTGTAAAACTGTTCTTAAGAGGAATATTTATTATGCACCATCCATCAAGCTCGCAATTGCACTGCTTATGTACTCATCCAGGTCTAGTCTGAATGTACCAGACCCACATTTGAAGCCTTTGTACCTTGTTCATGGTCTTTGTTGATATACTTTTAAATGACGGGCCTTTTAACACAGTCTGCATATAGCACTAGCTACATGTAGGTTTTTTCTCCAGAGTATAATGAATTTTATTCCTACAATCAATAAAATATCTTGTACAGCTGTATTGTAGTCGTATGACAACCAGTCTTGTGAAAAATTTTGATGAAGCTTGGTTGGTATAATTCAGTAACCATGTTTGTGTAACTTATGTGTCTCTTAAGATGAGCTGTTATTACAGGAAAAAAATCAAATTCATAACAAACAGCAAGCCATGGCAGCTTTGCTGTTCTTGTTTTATTATAAGTCAGTTAACTTGAAAATCCCTTGATGTAGACCTGATACTTCATTCTCATTTAGAAAATCGAATAGGTATTTGACTACCCCACAGCTAGAAATGCTCTCATTTTTATCTCCATTTCACTTAGTGTAGCTGAAGCAGCTAAAAACTTTCATAATGGACTATGATGGGGATCGGTGCTGCTCTGCATATTTAGTGACTGTTCGGGAAGGGTGAACGCAGAAGGCTCTTCTCCCACAGACGTGTGGTAGGGCTCTGCTATATTGAACACCTATCCCAAACAGTCGGCTCCTTCCCTTCCTCCCCACTTTGACTGAGACATTTCTATACCGAAAAAAGATGATCATGGCTGTGCATTTTGGGTGTAGAGGGTGTACCATTGTTAATTGTTAGTAAATAGAACTAGGTGCAAAGGAAATCTGCATATTTAGCGATTGTTTGGGGTAGTTATTCTATAGCAGACCCCTCCCACACATCTGTGGGGGAGGAATTTGAAATTGTTGACATTACCAGCTTCCAAGATGAAGTGAGAGAGCTGGTTCCATTCAAGAACTGTCTGTGGAATAAGCTAGTATTTGTAGCAGTCCTTTTTGATATGAAAAGGAACGAATGTGGAGTTGCATGTAGGTACACAGACTCCAGTTAAAGCTGTATGGAAAAGGCTTCAAATATTGCAACATCGAGGGTTTTGGAGATACATGCACATGTAGATTGGCCATCCAGAAACCAGTATGCAATGAATTTATCTGCCAGAAATTTCAGAAACACGCAAGGTCAAGTTTTATGTTTTGTTGAAGTGGATGATATAACGGGAGAAAGGGATAACATGCATGCATGAAGAGTGCATGAAATGTAAGCTGGTATCGTTGCAGCCCAAATGCATTAAAATGAGTAGTTTTGATGACTTGCAGAAAATGCACCTAAAAAACGTAAAATCTTACTTTTAGCTGATAATTGTGAGATTTTTTTCTGCAACGAAGGAGTATGAGACGCTGAACATGGAGAGTAATGTAATTTGCCTGACATAAATGTGAGAGCAGACCCTAGTTAAAGCGGTACTAATGACTTGTATGCTGGTGATCATATTTATGAGCCTTTAAGAGAAGTGCAGTGCTCCAGGATATTTCCCTTCCAACTTTTTTCATCGAACAAAAGTATGTCAAACTAAATGACATTAAAATGAAAGTAATGTTTGAGACATAAGTTGTGGTTAATGATGAAAAGTAAATGCCCTAAGGCTTTTTTTATGTTATAAGTGGGGACATCTTCATAAGTAATGGCATATTGAGCATTGTTTATGTAGAGTGCTAACAGTAAAATGAGTGTTCTTGATCATCTTGAATGTTACAAACCTATCAAAATTGTTGAACGTCATCGAAATTCAATGAGTTATGTTGTTAAAAACATACTGGATCCATATATTTCTGATGCAGCCAGACTTACAGATTATTTTCTGCTGCTGAATGGTGTTAAGTATGAGACTTGATAAATACCGGTGTGCTGGCATAGTTGGAGTGTGTGAAGTATAGCAAATCGGATGTGAAAGGGGCGAATGACGTGCGAAAACAGTGTGGAAATCATGTGAATATGCTGCAAATTTTTGCAAATGCAGCATGAAACATCTGCGAAAACATTGCGAAAAAATCAGTGCGCAAAAAGAGCAGGAAAGTAGTGTGAAAAGTTTGCGAAAACAGCGTGGAATGTTGCTAAAATAATGCAGAAACTTGCAAAAATGAGAAGCGTGATACAGTGAAATTTCCACACTGGCCCCCCACGCACGACTATTATGCAGTGAAGACTCCATTCCAAGGCTGTGCTGCTCTTGGGGTCGGGGCCGACTCACCACCTGACCACATGGAGTGTGCTGTTGGGCACCAGTATTCTGGTACTAATAGTAGCGATCACACCATCACTAATAGACACTCACTCGATTGTCTGTCCATGCAGCGCGATTGCAAGCTTGTGCTCACCACAGCAAGCTATGCCTACATGGCAAAGTTCTTTTCTTGGATTACCATAAATAAACACTCTCCATTGCTGAGAATAAATTTTTAAAAAGGTGTCCAGATTTTTAGTAATTATACAGGAGTCCCCAAGTCATGAAATTACGGAGCACATGAAATGTGTACGTAATTGCAACAAACTTGCTCTGCTGTGGCAATTGTTGCTGTGATTATTTTCCCACTTATTATTTATTCTTGTGGGGTTGTTTAGCACACAAAATAATAATCAACACTTAGATACTACACGTAGTATTTTGTCACCTGAAAATTTCATTCTACCGATAAATAAAATCAGTTGTTTTGTACATATATCTTAGCTTTGTGTTGCAAATCTTGTCTTTTTGCCGATTGTGTTTGATGTGACAAGTGGGGTTGGTTTTCACTGGGGTCTTCTGATAACATATTACTTTCTGTGCTCATGTGGTACTGGAAAAAGTCAGCGATTGGACTGTCCATGAATGGATCGCAGTTAGCAGTCAGGATGGTGCCTATGGTTGCAGTGGGTTCTTCGTGATGCAGCATGCATGAGGTCCTGTGGCAATTTTTGAAGAGCTTTGCTTTTTTTATCAGTGTCACAAAAGCAATCAATATAGCCGGATACAAGGCATACATGCATATTCCAAAATTACGGTACGTACATGTACATCTGCGGATACATGTACATCTAAACGTAATTCATATACATGTACATGACAACATGTGCACATGGTAGTGCACATGTTGCACGTCCATTCAGGTTATAGCACTGTGCGATTCTGTTAGGTCCCATTGAGAGTGCAATAAAGGGAATCTACTGTAATTCAGCTGTTCAGTACAGTGTTCAGTGCTGGTCTCTGACCTCCACCAAAGCCAGCTTTGATTTTGCCTGTTGCATTGTATTTATTTTGCCCAATACCCAGAAACAGACAGCCTTGAAATTTTAATGCTGTCTTCCTCAAGTGATCTTCTGGAAATTCCAGAGAATGAAAGATTATACTTTTGTCTCAGACTGATTATTGTCTGCTTTCCATATTCAGAGATGTGCATGTTTGTAACCACAGAGAATAAATGAATAAATGTCTACATGTGTGCACAAATACTACTGAACCCCTTCACGCCGGGACGCGGATAGAGCCGCCGTAAAATTGAGATCCTCAGCCCTCTTTTCAGCTGTTATTCTTGGCCCATGCTCGAGCGAACATGGTGAAAGAAGGCAGACCCTGGCTCTTGTGTATATGGTAATTGGTCTTTGTGCGTAGCCCAGAAATGAAAAGTCCGAATTCTCATCATAATCACCAGTTTCACAATAGTTCTTACTTTGAAAAGAGGCAACGGAAATGTGGAAGCTTGAGTAGAGCCGCATGCCACCGAAAAATCAGCCTTTTCACCATGTTATTCAAACCTTGCAGAGCACGCAGGGCCACAAACTGAGAATCTGCGTTTTGGTAGTTGGCCTTGGTGGTCAAGCGAGGCTGGAATTCTTGGAGTCAGCTTTCTGGAAGAAATTCCCGTCGTCAAGGGGTTAATGAAGAAAGTTTGCAAAATCATGTAAACATCTTTTCCCACTTGTGGGGGAAAATCTGTGAAATATTTTCCCATTTGTGTGAAAAAGTGTGGAAAATCTTCTCCCACATTGGAGAAAATCTAAAAATATTTTCCCACTTGTGTGAAAAGGTGGGAAAAAGTTTCCCCACTTTAAGGAAAATCTGAAATAATATTTTCCCACTTGTATGAAAAGGTGTCAGAAACTTTTCTCACTTTTGGCACAGTTTTTCCACAATATGTCAAATGAAAAGGAATTCCTTGGGAAGAGAAAAAAGTGTGAAAAGATTTTCCCATTTTCAACTATTTCATCATTGGTCAATCTCATCCCTGCAAAGCTCAACAAAGCCTTTGTGAGAGTTTAACGGTTTTGGGTTGAACCTTATGATTGGTTTATGCAGATGTCACTAAATTTAGCATTGTTTACTTTCCCTTTCAGAGTTGTTGCGTCGCCAGGAAGAATTGAACCGTCATGAAGAAACCCAGAGAGAGATGCAGCTGAGGTATGTAAAATTATTTGGAAATTGACTGAACAGGTTGTATTCATTGTGGTTATGGTTAATTTTTTTAGGTATATGTATAGTGAAGAATGAGAAATGAGCAGAGATATATGACTTGAGCCACAAATTAGTGCATTTCAAATAATTATGCCAACCTAGCTCTGAAAGAAGAGGCAAATATACTCATGTTTTCAAACATTTTTTGAACCAAGCTCGTAGCGATAGTGCTTCGGAATGCATGTGAAGTGTAACATGCTCACCAGTATACTAGCAGTGGGACCCAAATCTGGATTTTCATTCATGCGGTTTCGATTTTGTGATCTGGTTCCAAATTAAAACTGATTATGCAAAATCCAAAAAAGTGACAAATATTTACCCTACTTATAATTGTCTTTGATCCCAGAAAAATGTTTTTCTGTTACTGCTACCGTCTTAACAGCAATCTGATTCGTATATGTAGACCATCATTTTACATGTGAGTGTATTGACTTGTCACTACAGACTGGATACCGAGGGCCAAATTTCTGAATTATCCAGTATTGTCCAGTTTTATCAAGGGACTTTCAGAAACCATTGTGAAACCACTACACAAATGATAATGTAATGGATGGACGGGCCCTCCGATTACAAGGCAACATGTAAGAAATGTAACACAACTTCACTAGATTCATTGGAGACCAGAGTTCCCCTGCCCTTTCAATTGTGAGGTGGCCTGCCCCCAGTTTTTAGAGACTGCCTCATGCATTTTTTGCCAATATTGCCACCTCACAGGTACTAAAAAATATATTTAAAAAATCTTTTGCCTCCTGTATTTTTTTATGTTTGTGTTTCGAAGTTTCTGCACCAAATTTTCAGGCCAATCTGCAAAATTAACCTATAGCATGACACCATGAAATCACTCTGGTCGATCAGTAGCACCCAGCATGCATGCATGCCTTGTACAAGCCCTGCAACCTTGCTTGGCATGCTTTCACATATGCATGCCTTGGCACCTGGCCTGAATAGATCTTGCACATGACCTCAAACTTCAGCTCAGTAACCACAATTGGTTTATGGCAGCTCTATAAGCTTTTCATGGCATGGCTCAACCCCATCTGACATATTTTTTTTCTTGTAAGGAGGTAAACTGTTAAGAATCTACACAATTAGCATGAACAAAAATTAAAGCAAGGTGAAAAATTTTCATTGACTTTTTTCACATTGAAACTCTTGTATTTTTTATGTTTTCCTACTTAGGCGCCATAGCCAAATTGACTAAGCGTTCTTCCGTGGTTTGTTGGCATTCTCGCCAATCAGTCCATTGTTGTCAAGGAGGGCGAGAATCCGCAGATTGGACAGCAGTGTGTGCTCTTGCGTGGTTAAGTCAATGTTCAGGGCAGGCTCTGCAATGAAACATGACCGACTTCATGAATACAAACAGCAGGACGCAGAATGTCTGTCCTTTAAATACAGTATAGCAAAAGTTCTGATACACTATTCGTGCATTTTATTGACAGGAATAGGCATTCTTTGATCAAGATGTATAGGTTTTTGTTCGTTTTGCAAAGTGTGCATTAAAACAAACCAGCCATATAAAAATCATCTTGACCAGAGCTCTTATATGACGCAGAGGGCACGAACGCATTCATGAGAATTCCACCAATGGCCTTTTCATTGTACCATGCTTCCTGCCTTGATAATATTTGGATAGCCAAAGATAAAAATTCTTACTTGCAGTTTATCTCCTCTGTCATGTCTGTAGGTCTGTCCCTTGATTTTTTTTTTACCCATTATAATAGTTGCCCGGTGGTCCAAATTATTTTTCCATTATTGGATGTAAAACAGTCTTTTTTAAAGAAATCAAGAAAAAATCAAAAGCCATTCACTGAGACACCCAATCGAACAAATGTTGACATGGTGGTACTGTTGCTAAGTGATGTGGCCCCAAATTAGCATATCAGACTGATATCAGACTGATATCCTGAGAGCCGCGCGCCCGCATGAAGTTCCCACACTTTTTCCTTGGCAGTGGCCCAAATCTGCTATAAACGACTGTTTGCTGAGTATAGGTTGAACATGTAAAAGACAAAATGGGGCCTGAAAACTGGTTTTAAAAGGGTTTGGTTACGTAATCTTGTCATGCTCCTCAGTAAACCAAACCAAAATCATCAAACATGGCACTTTCAAACCAGACCAAACTTGATAAAAAAAGGAAACACACCACGGAAAATAGATAACGAGTTTGACGAATTTGACACTGCAAACCTTGGCACACGGTGCGTGTTCGGACATACGTTGGGCCGCATCACATGATTGTTGTAAAATGCACGTGGTGAGAATTCACTAATAATTAAGAGAGAAGATGCAACGTACAGCATTTCCGTGGCTCAACAATGATATATTCTCACTACATCCGATTATGCTTATGTATATTCAGATAATATCATGTGCGTCAATCTCTTAAAGCTCCCCCTTCATGTTCATATAAGGCCAATGATGCTTAAATAGCTGTAAAAGAGGATGTTTGATTTGATTGGATGCATGTTGATCGTAGGAGGACTCGTGCTCAATCTTAAGGCAACCCCGGAGAGAAGCCGATTTTACCGGGCAGACCAGCGCACACGCAACCAGATTTTGTGAGCGAGATGGCCTGTAAACTTGTCTTTCGTTTGGTGAAGCTGGTGTACGTATACATTGTGATAGCATTTTCAAGATTCCTAGTAGTTGTTCCAAAATCTCAAATAACAAAATGCCGTTATCCGTAAATCGCCCCTTTGGCCACGTGCATGTACATATACATGCACATGTGCGTCCATAGATGTACATGTCTGTGCATGTCTGACTGTGAGCCAAACGTCACCAAACCTTGGCGCTTGAAGCATTGGTAAATTTCCACCTCCTCTTTGTTGAAAGGCAGAATCCTTGTGCCTGTTTTATTTTAAATCATACAATTTCCTGTCAACTTAAATAATGTGGTCTGAATATTTTTTAACTTACCTGTATAACTTAATGGGATATCGATGATGAATTCTGAATGCTTGCCCCACAATTATCTCCTTCCTGGCCTGGGCTATAAAGAGGATTTTGTAAAAAAGCGTTGCGTCATGACTGCATGATTTGCTGATCGTAATTGTTACGAACTACTAGTGTGTAATGTCCATACTTGAATCATATCCAAACACTTTCTTTGAAAATTGTGGTTTAATGCTGAATAAGTGTTGAAAGTTATGGATTTACAGTAAACTGTAACATTAAACGGTGGCGTAAGATGATGTTAGTATCTTTACCTTCATCCTACTAAAAAAGAAATCTGGGGGCGCTCCCCTCAAAACATTCAATAATATAACTTACATTTATATATCTTGGCATTTATGGAATAATTCCAGGTGGTTTTCAATTTTAGGGCCCACGAGGGGAAGACTGTGCCACAACGCACAAAGCTATTAAAAGAAATAAAGCTACAGAAGCCAAACATAATGTGTTTTCTTTTCTCGTGGACAATGGCGTACTCGACAGCCAAATAAGCCTGATTGTCAAAGGAAAAAGCATGTGGCTGGAACAGTCACGCTGCCACTCCGTCAAAGTTCTTACAAAGGCCTGAAGTACTACGTCACTGTACATCGTTGATATCTGAAATAAGTATGTCTGCCACCTCTGGATAAATAGTCAATTATTTACGATGTGAATATAATGTTCATGGCACAATATTAATCGGCGAAAAAAGTGTCTGAGCTGGCTGGCGCGTCAACACGGTCGAACATGCTTGCAAGCATGGTTACCATGTTCCTGGAGTTCGTATGCCTAGTTCAGTGCAGTTTTTCGGACAGAGAACAGAAAAAGCAGAGATTGCATGCTCAAGTCACGGTAAAAGTCCCACTTAACGGTTGTTTAATGTATGATGGAATTGTTTTATGGCGAAAGAACGAAACTACAAAAGCCTTCGAATCTGAACGAAAAGTTAAACCATAAACGTACTAATCCAGATGATCACACAATAAATCATGTTTTGAAATGTCAGTAACAATTGTAAAACAAACTTCACGAAACAGGGATTGAATTTTGCATCCGCGTCGTGCCTGCAGTTCAGGAAAATTGGTGGTCTCACTGTTGGTGGGATACGCTCGCTGACTGTTTTTGGACAATTTTACGATCTGAGGCAATCTAGTGGCAGCGTGAACAAGAAATTTTGCATGCTTGTACAAGTTTGCTGACGATCAAGGATCAATGAATTTTGTTTTCCCACAGTGGCGAGAAATATATTACTGCTATTAGTTATCTATGTTTGGTACAAAATTAAGCCATTCCTTCCATGGTCAATTGCAGGCCGAAAGTAGCCTGGTAGCGATTTTTTTTCCCGAGCCGGGAATCCGCTGAATATCGGGCGTATTCATGAGACTTGTTT